TGTTTGATCCAGAACATAGAAAAAGCATATAAATTTGATTAGTATGCAACCTAGGCTTCCAAGCAACCAAACTAATAAACCTAGAAAAGTTGGTATCAATGATTAAATCTACACCAAAGCATGCGTAGTCTACATCGACCAATCAGTTAGCTACATCGACCAATCACTTAGCTCCTATTTCTGTCCAATACAAAAATACTCTAAAATACTAATTATACGAACTCGTTTTCTCAGTAACACAAAGTTATGTATGGTTTATATCTGCAACGTTTCTCAAATGGGAACAACGAAGGTGTATGTGATGTAGATATCCAATAGAAATCCAATATCTTATTTATTTGACTCCATAACATTACTCCAGAAATAGTCGTACATTTTGAACTATAATGTGGAATGAATTATTTAGTCAGAAATATATTGACGTTAGATTACGGATGTCATATCCTATCAACCATCACTTTACTACTTTGGAATATTTTACTCCAATGATCATTTGCATACTTAAAAAAATGGTCTTTTTATGGATATAATTATTTATAGTGGTTATTTGAGCTAATTTCTCTTTATTATATTCCCTTATTTGGAGGGTCCCAAGTGGTCATTAATTATGTGGAGATTTTTTTAATTCGAGCCTCCCAAGTGGTGTTTAATTGCTTTCAGACTTTAAGAGGTCGTATTTAGTTGAGAATAATTGATTGAAAAGATGTCTTAAGGGAGATGAAAAAGGTTATTGATAAGTAAAGATGAATGTGGCACATTTGTTGCTACAAAAGCTTTAACAATTAGCGTGCTATTGTGCTGTGTTAAAATCGTATCTGAACAAAAATCCAAAATAATGAGGTGTGAATAGTTCCCTATATATTTTTAATCGTCCATATTTTGTAATTACTAAAGAACAATGTGGGTGTATAAAATCCACACCATAACTCAACACAAATCCAAGTTTTTATTATTTTACAAACATAAGACTATGACGTCCCTTTTCAAGTTTACAAAGTTGATACAAACCAAAACCAACTTTTAAAAAGCAGAGAGCATATGATCAAACTTTGGAAAATCTAAAACTTAAAACAAAACCAAATTTAGCATTTCTTGATATAGTTTATTAGTTTCATTGTTCTGACCTAAATTTCCCCTTCTAATTCAATGCCTTTCCCATGATTAACGGATGAAAAGTGTAAACAACTTGCACAAAACCATGTGTTTAACCTGGTCTAATTGTTTAATACATATTTGACCTCATATCTTATTTCAAACGTTCTTTTAAAAACTTCTAAGGAATAAGATTATAGAAAAGTAACTTAGTTTTTCATTTGTCCCATTTACGTAATCAAATTTATTTCGTAAGGACTAAATCATTGAAGTTATAAAAGTAATTCAATTAGATATAGGGGTAGCTGGTTGACCAAAGTCAATATTTTACTTACATGTACTTTTCTAATTGAACGTATTTAAATAGTGTTTCAATTATGTTATATTCCAAGAGTATATATTGAACAAGCTTTCTAGAGCTATATTTAAGCAAAACATGATATTGTAACTTTTGTCCTATTAATATCAATCTTAATCGTAGTCAGTGTCCATAACAATGAACTGTTGTTATGAACTCTGTATCAGACTGTCAGTTATGTCATGTATTAATTATGTCATATCAGGTTTGGGATAAAAAAAAACATTTGAGATCCACCAAATTCAGATATTCGAATCAAAACTAGAAGAATTTGATTACTTTCAAGACTGGTTTTTCTATGCATTTGATGAGTACATAAATAACAAACAATGCATTGAATGAATGTTTATGCAAGTCCCTATTGTGAGATTCTTCTATCAATTTTTTTGATTCTTTGTGGTGGCCAGACAATGTGAGTAACCCTTCCATGAATCAAACCCAATGGAATCTGAAAAAAATAAATAAATAAATAAATAAACCATACTATGTTCATATCATCATATGGTTTCCTTTTTATCTTATTCTTTTAATTAGGTATAAAGGTAACATACATGGCCAAATGATCTTGAATCAAAGCTAGAAGTTGAATTGTCACCTTCCACCCAACAATGCCCTTGTGGAACCTTCACAACACCACCCACATTACTGATATAATCACCTTCTGTTGCTACTATTCTTTTCACACATCTTTCCTTGTAATTAGTTGGATCACTACAAGATAATCCAAACTATATCACAAATAATCATTAATGTGGAAAAAATAAATAAATAAACTGGATGTTCACACCCCCACTTGGCCATGTCATTCTCAATCTATTCGAATTGGGTGTCAGTTACACAACGGACATAGGTGTGCATGACACGCGCACAAAATGATTTTTGTAAAATCATCTCTTTTTTGTGTGAGCTTTGACCTAAACCCTCTTTATATCATTTAGCTAGTTTTGATTTTTATTTTTATGTCAAATAAATTATTTTACAAAAATTATATCTCTCTCATACGGATCCCATTTTCGGCATTCTTTTTCTCACAAGTATTATCCCGACGAGTACTATAATTCTCTTTTTGGCAGCACTAGCTAAAACTCAGCCACTTTCTTAGTATTGTTATGACGTAATTAACTTTAATTAAGTGGTTGATTTTTAGTTTTTACTAATCCTATAACTCCTCTATTCGGAATTAGATTTTTACGAAGTTTACATTATTGTTTCAAAAGTTGACACGACTTTTTGGTCACTTATTTTTTAATCTAACGGTTGAATTAGCCATGAATGTATTAACTTATTTTATTATCTTTATTGATAAAAATCAAACATTACATAACAAGCCTACTACATTTATTTTTCCTCACAAATTTCCTAACGGGTTGGTGACGATATTTTTTTTGGTTGTCATTAAAGGCCATTTACATTTTTTTAACAAAACAAACTATTTAAACCTATATTTTGTATATTTTCCTCACTCTAATTTGAAATCTCTCATTAACACATTTGAATCTCAAATGAAGCTTAAGCTCTTTTTTGCTTTTTAATCTCTCACTTGTTTAAGTTTGATCAAGTATCAAAGTGCACTGTCATTTAGGGACGAAGCCCCTGAACGAACGGGGGTCTGGGGCAGCGCCCCTGGCTGGTTTTTTAGATAATTGCATTAGAAATCCGATTTTTTAGATAATTGACCATTTTGACTTTTATTCAGAATACCCGTTTTATGACCGTTTTGGTGGTTTTGTAACAGTTTTAAACAATCATATGACAGTTTTAAAACAAATATCTAAATTCAGTTTTTAGTCTCTTTTCTGGTACTCACGAAATCATATTCTCTCATTTTCTTTCTTTCTCTCTGATTTAATCTGAGTCTTATCCAATTAAGGATTTGGGAGTACCACCCAAATACTTCGATTAGAAAGTTATTATCACGATTCTCAGATTTCCAAGTGTCATTAAACCCATAATTTTAATTTTAACAATAACACCTTCACATACGAATATGGATTGTGGGCTACAGACCCTTTATGTTTTAGATCTGAGAGTTCGGGCAATGGTAAGGGATCATGCATCCCCCAATGAGTGGTTTTTGTTCTTTAGAATCTAAAAAAATAATAAGGGTACTTTTCATGTCGAGGTTGTCTGGGCTTAGTTTCCTCTTTATCAGATTGAGTCTCATTTCTATCAAATTCGGAGAAGCAATGGAATTTTTCCACCAGGTTTCCATGTGGAAGTATATTACCATCCTCACTAACATGATCAATTTTGCTTGATCAATTGTTGATTCATCAATCATTAAATGTTTGAACAATATCAATATCAACATCAACAAGAACCTTACATTTATACCTAACATCACCCCCTTCGACGGTGCTCATTGTAAGAAGAAACATGATCCAGTGTCGTAGGTAATAAATTACAAATTTTGTTTTTTCCATCACCAAAAGATCCATTGTCGCCACAACAATTTTCTCTTGGAAATTGATTAACTCCACTTTCCAAAATATTTTTAACAACAAGCAATTGTATTTTGTTAGGAAACATGCTACTAACAAAACTAAGAAAATATCTGACACCACTATCGTAAATCATCTACATAACTATGTTTGATCCAGGACTAAGAAAATGCATATGAATTTGATTAGTATGCAACCTAGGCTTCCAAGCAACCAAACTAATAAACCTAGAAAAGTTGGTATCAATGATTAAATCTACACCAAAGCATGTGTAGTCTACATCGATCAATCAGTTAGCTCCTATTTCTCTCCAATACAAAAATACTCTAAAATACTGATTATACGAACTCATTTTCTCAGTAACATAAAATTATATATGGTTTATATCTGCAACGTTTCTCAAATGGGAACAACGAAGGTCTATGTGATGTAGATATGCAATAGAAATCCAATATCATATTCATTTGACTCGATAACATTACTCCAGAAATAGTTGTACATTTTGAAATATAATTTGGAATGAATTATTTAGTCAGAAATACATGGAGGTTAGATTGCGGATGTCATATCCTATCAACCACCACTTTACTACTTTGGAATATTGTACTCCAGAGTTAATGATCATTTTGCATACTTAAAAAAATGGTATTTTTTATGGATATAATTATTTATAGTGGTTATTTGAGCTAATTTCTCTTTATTATATTCCCTTATTTGGAGGGTCCCAAGTGGTCATTAATTATGTGGAGAATTTTTTAATTCGAGCCTCCCAAGTGGTGATTAATTACTTTCAGACTTGAAGAGGTCGTATTTAGTTGAGAATAATTGATTGAAAAGATGTCTTAAGGGAGATGAAAAAGGTTATTGACAAGTAAAGATGAATGTGGCACATTTGTTGCCACAAAAGCTTTAACAATTAGCGTGCTATTGTGCTATGTTAAAATCGTATTTGAACAAAAACCCAAAATTATGAGGTGTGAATAGTTCCCTATATATTTTTAATCGTCCATATTTTGTAATTACTAAAGAACAATGTGGGTGTATAAAATCCACACCATAACTCAACACAAATCCAAGTTTTTATTATTTGACAAACATAAGACTATGCCGTCCCTTTTCAAGAATTCAAGTTTACAAAGTTGATACAAACCAAAACCAACTTTCAAAAAGCAGAGAGCATATGATCAAACTTTGGAAAATCAACAAACCTAAAACAAAACCAAATTTAGCATGTCTTGATATAGTTCATTAGTTTCATTTGTAACTTTTGTCCTATTAACATCAATTTCAATCGTACTGTCCATAACAATGAACTGTTGTTATGGAATCTGTATCTGTTATGTCATGTGTTATGTCATGTCAGGTCTGGGATTAAAAAAAAAACATTTGAGATCCACCAAATTCAGATATCCGAATTAAAACTAGAAGAATTTGATTTCTTTCAAGACTGATTTTTCTATGCATTTGATGAGTACATAAATAACAAACAATGCATTGAATGAATTTTTCTATGCAAGTCCCTCTTGTGGGATTCTTCTATCAATTTTTCTGATTCTTTGTGGTGGCCAAACAATGTGAGTAACCCTTCCATGAATCAAACCCAATGGAATCTGAAAAAATAATAATAATAATAAACCATATTATGTTCATATCATTATATGGTTTCCTTTTTATCTTATTCTTTTAATTAGGTATAAAGGTAACATACAGGGCCAAATGATCTTGAATCAAAGCTAGAAGCTGAGTTGTCACCTTCCACCCAACAATGTCCTTCTGGAACCTTCACAACACCACCCACATTACTGATATAATCACCTTCCATTGCTACTATTCTTTTCACACATCTCTCCTTGTAATTAGTTGGATCACTACAAAATAATCCAAACTATATATCACAATTAATCATTAATGTGGAAAAGATGTGAATGCCCTCCTAATACCTGAAAATTACTACATCGCCGTGTGAGAACTTGTATTTGTCAAGGCAAAATTTCTCCAAGAAAACATAATCATCTGCAGATGAAATTAATCATTAATGTGGCATATGTAAAATGCTAACACTAATGAATTTTGGTGTATGAATTATGAATTGTGAAAGGTACCTGTAAATGATCCAACAGAAGGATTAAATGTTGGAGACATGGATGAACCTCGAATAGGGCATACTCCACCATAACGGTCTGTTACAGTGATACCCACAAGCCCGATTGCTAAATACTTCTTGAACACGTTCAAAATCATATTCTGAGTTCCCATTTAAGATTTCAGAAACTTTGAATGAAATCTGCAAATGGAACAAATAGTTTCAAACATAAATCACAAATTTGCTAAGCTTTCTGTGTGATGTGATAGTGCACGATATATAACGAAATAAATTACAAAGCAACTAAAATTTCATAGAAGAGCAGAAACATGAGAATCTCTGAAATTTTCAGAAACAAAGATACATCGAATTATCATAACCAGACAGAAACGTTTAGCTTTTCATAAAGACAAACTTTCAGAAACATTAGGAAATATACATACACAAACTTTCAGAAGCATTAAAATGAGTGTAAACTGTAAAATGTAAATGTGTAATCACCTTGTTCACTGGTTTGGGCTGAGAGGACAGTTTATTGAGTCGAACAGATGGAACGGCGGCAGGACGGAGGAACTAGGAACCAGGGGATGGAGAACCCTAGTGAGGACTGAGGACGAGTGAACGAGAGCAAGGTCGCGAACCCTTGGACTTCGTGAGATGCAGCGCCGGCGATTGAAATCGGAGAAGGAGAAATCGACTGTCAGAAGCGCAAATCGAAATCAGGGATTGATTAGGATTCAGAAAAATGTGCGTGTGTGAAATTGGGGGTTGGGGTTTAGGGTGACGGATCGGGTAATATTGGTTGAGTTATCGACGAAAATCGAGTTATTTATAAAACTACTTACCATAGTATAGTTTTTTACTAAAGTATCATTATTTATAATCCTATTAATTCTTTTGCACGGAAAATGGTTCCTATTGGTAAACCATTAATTTTTTTTAAACTCTCTCATCTACCCTAATAAATGAAAATGACTTTGCCACATGTAATTTTAGTATAATTTTGAGATATATATTTATTTTTCACTTGTCATTGCTTCAATTTTCATTTTCAATCTATCATTAATTTAGTTTCCATAAATTAAACCTACCATAATGACTATTAATTTTAAATTTTAAATTCAATTTCAAATAAATTTACAGTTTAAACCTTTATGTTTAACATTTTGCTATAATTAACTCGTTTAGTACACTAAACACATAATTTTAATTAATTTATTTTTTGCATATTTTTTTCACATAATTTTCACTTATTTCAATTTCAAATTCAAATAAAATTTCTATTTAATCGTTCGTACTTAACATTTTGTTTTAATCAACCCGTATAATATACGGGTCTCACAACTAGTATTTAATACATGTTTTACAGCTGTCTCATATTTGCTACATATTATTTCTTGTATTGTTTCCTGCTTCCAACTCCCGCTGCTACCAATCAGGTACGGACAACAGATACTCCATCACCGCCTCAAGTCGTCCATAACCTCATCTTCACCGTCATTGCTTCGCTTCGATCCAAAAACTTTTTTCTCTGTTCTTCCAATTTCTTGGGTCCCTTTGCAATGTCTTCTTCTTCCGTTTTCTTCTGGTTTCTCTTTAATCTGCTTCGTATCTCACTTCTCAAATACAGTCGACGCTGTGGGATGAGTTGTTGGCTTTTGATTTCTCTTCTTCTCTGCATTTCATTTTGGTCTCAACGTTATTACAAAACACAATCGGATTAGGGTCACAAAGTCCATAAATTAATCGCACAGGGAATCCATCCCCTTATTCGATTCGATGGTGATATTGAAGTTGCACAACCGAAGAAGAGAATTGATTGGATTCACCGTCACCACCGCCTTTGCCCAGTTCCTCTCTTCTATCGACGAAATCCATATCATTTTCTTACTTCCGTTGGATAAATTACTTTGGCCCTGTCTCATTTTTGGGTGAATTTTATATTTGTTTGGCATTGGTTCTTTCTTCTTTTTCTTTATGATTTAATACATTCGGAGTCGAAGAATAGCTGTTGAATAATTGGCTTAAGATTTCTCAAAAAATTGATGTTGATGTTACTATTTTACATGCATATGAAGTATTCGATGAAATGCCTAAATAAACATTCTATTGGTAAGTATTTTTCATGTCTTAAGAAGACATGTCAACTTCAACTGTTGTTACAGTACCTCCGTTTTTGCAACAAGTTTGCTTCAACTGCTTCTTTTAGTGGTCTACATCTGTCCCTCCAAAGCTTTTGTCAAAAAACATAGCAATTGAAGCTGCATGTGTCAATATTGAAACCAACCTTGAAGAATTAAAATCAGAATCAAATTTCTTACTTTTCTATAAAATTAAAAATTCCTTTGTTAATTCAAATTGTATTCATGCTTTTTTTTAATGTAGAGCATGGAATCTTGGTGTTAATATGGAGGATGGATCTTCTTTGCCTTGAGGATCATAAGGTGTAAGATTCCTTTTAACTCTTTTAAAGAAAAACCAAATTTGGATTTTTATTTTATTTTATTTTTTGTTGCATAAAAACTAAATTTTTTTAATCCCATTGTATAGGTCAAATGTTTTGGGTTTAGGTTTAGTTGGTGTGTCTTGTGCTATTTTTAGCATCTTTTTTAGTAAATCACTAGCCTTTTTTATCAACATTATCAATGAAAGAATGGAATTTAGAAAGAAAAAAAAACAATTTTTCCTGGTATTCTGAACCATAGATGTAATGACGTATGCCCTTATTACTTCCATCTTTTTCCTGCAGCAACATGAGTTCTTCAGACTTAAAGGTTAGTCAGGCTCAACTTTTTCATATCAGGTTCTACATTTCATTGTCCAGTTTAGCATCAAATCGTTGTGATAATATTTCTTTTTCAATCTTCTTTTAGTTTTTGATAAGTTCATCGTCAAATAAAACATTAACTCTACTACAATGTTGAGAAAGTTGATAGAATTTTAAACATTGAAAATTAAATTATATACTTTTAATCTAGTGCAAATAATCTATTTCATGTAAGCTTGACTTACCTTAGGATAAAATTAGACTTTTGCACAATTTCCTTTTCAATAGACGATTTACATAACTAAATTTAGCGTTCTTCCATATTTTACTACATTTTGGTTTTCTTGGATCACTTTATTCAGATTTGGAATGGAACTGGAGGAACGAACAGTGGTGAAAAGATGGGGTTGGTATGCATAATGCGATAAGGAAACAAATGTTTAAACTCATCAGTAGGGGTCCCATTAATCAACACCGAAGATCTAGCATTAGAGCAGATGTCATGAATCCAAGCTCTACATTTCTCACCAAAACCGAGAAACCCCATGACCTTATCCAAATACTTCCAACTCAAAGAATCATAAGCTTTTTCAAAATCGACTTTAAACATCATAGGCTTTTTCTTCTTCTTTTTAAACCACCTCACCATGTAACACCCCAAAAATACGAGCCAAAAATTTCATTTTTGAAAACATATATTTAGCAAAACATTCGAATTAAAACGTTTACTGATCATAACATTTTATAAAGATACCGCATGTCTGGAAAAACATTTCATAAAACATAATAATGTCAGAGTACAAATCCCCAGGAAGATCTCATGATGCGGAATACGGAGCATGTGTGTGATGTACCGCTACCGCGCCAGCTCCTTCCCCTTCGAAGAAGAGGTATCTGAAATCAAAACTGAAAACTGTGAGCACGAAGCTTAGTGAGTTCCCCCATCATACCGCATACCATACAATCGCATATCATACATATTGCCAGGCATTTCTGGGGTGCCCGACCTACCCGGTACGGCCATTCTGGGGTGCCGACCTACCCGTGTAAAGCCATTCTCGGGTGCTGACTACCCATGTCAAGCCATTCTGGGGTGCTGACTACCCTTCGGTCCTGACGACCGAACCTCGGGGACTATTTCACCCCCTACTGCTACTATCACATATATCATAGCATAACATATTATCAGACATATCTGGGGTGCCTGAACTACCTTTTGGTCCTAGCAACCGAACTCGGGGACTAGTCCCCTCCTACTACCTCTATCGCATATAACGTAACAATCCAGCATGCAAACATATCATCATATACTGTCAGACGTATCTGGGGTGTCTGACTACCCTTCGGTCCTAACAACCGAACTCTACTACTATCACATACAACATATCATGCTAACATATAACATATCAGGTAGTAGCAAACCTAGATGATATCACAAAAACAATCATCTATCATACATCTCCTACTGGTGGGTCGGTATTGTGGCCTTAGACCCACCGCTACTGGAAGGTAACTCGCCTCGTAGTAGTTGCTGATCTGTGTGGGAATGGCCTGTCTGCTACTGCTGCTCCGAAAATCCTCCGGCTGCAATTCCCACCAAACACTTACTCAAATACTGCTAACCGCCTTCAGGGTAAATTGTCCATTTACCCCTAACAAGTCATGAGTCCAGACTCGCCAAGTTGGCTTGCCAACTCGCCGAGTCCCTTTCTCTATACCCAAGTCCAATAGTCCTTCATCCTACTCGCCGAGTTGTATGAACAACTCGCCGAGTTCACCTTCATCCGAAGAACACTCTAAGTTGTGACTCGCCGAGTTGTTCTTGAGACAAGAAGATTGCCATGAACTCGCCGAGTCATGGCATTGACTCGCCGAGTGACTTCATGAGTGAGTCTAGATTCCGATCCACTGAGTCACAACTAATGTCTCATTACTCCCAACCCGCCAATGCGAAAAAGGGGAAACTCGGGGACTCGCGACTCGACTCGCCGAGTCCGAGGGATGACTCGCCGAGTCAGCCACATGCAATTACTATACACTCGATTTTTCTTGAATCCATCTCATGCCATTCACAGATCTGGGTTTCTAGGGCATGGATTACACGTAAAGTTTCCAACTTTACGTGTAGATAATCACCAATGAAGGTTTTAGGGCTCAAAGTGCACCAAAAAGGGTAGATCTAGGGCTTTCATGCAATATGACTCCATAAAGACAGTAGATCCAAGCTTCAGGGACTAAATCATGCCTAGATCTAGAGGCTAACAACTTATTACAACCCACAATGCACAAACAAGCTTGGGGAATGGCTCAAGAAGGACTTTCATGAAGCTAATAGAGACTACAAGCTTGAAAATAGAGGGGAAACGAGCTATACCTCAAGGAAAACGTTGAGATGACACAAAGATGCTTGACCTCCTTCTTCTCTTCTTGATCTACTCTTCTTTCTCCTCAAAATCTTCAAGAACACACCAAAACACTTCAATCTCACAAGGAATATGGAGCTATAAGGGTGAATGGGGGCGAGCTTGGGGCGGAAATGATGGTTTAAATAGGGTGCAAACCCTTGAAATTTAGGGTTTCATCAAACAGCGGGGACTCGCTGAGTCCAGAATATGGACTCGTCGAGTCGCCAACTTAAACGTACCCCCGGACCCCGTCCCTACTCGGCGATTCGGACCTACAACCCGCAGAGTCCAAGGCTAAAAATGACAAATACTTAGATAAATTTTACGTACCAGGAACCAGGTGCTAAAAATCTCCCCCACTTATTTTAGACTTCGTCCTTGAAGTCTGCTACTCGATCCTAAAACAGCTCTGGGTAATGCACTATCATTTCTTCCACCGGCTCCCAAGTCCATTCCGAACCCTTGCGGTGTTGCCATTGTACTTTCACTAGCTCTACCCTCTTGTTCCTTAGATCCTTCGACTTCCGGTCAAGGATCGCGACTGGGCGCTCAATGTAATTCAGGCTGTCATCAACATGTATATCCTCTAATGGCACCAACGTTGAATCATCCACGAGACACTTCCGTAGCTGGGAGACATGGAAGGTGTTGTGGATCTGGCTGAGCTCAGCTGGCAGATCCAGCCTATATGCCACCTTGCCCACCCGGGCTACAACCTTGAACGGTCCGATGAATCTCGGGCCCAACTTGCCCCACTTCCTGAATCGAATGATGCCTTTCCAAGGCGACACCTTTAGTAGAACCATATCCCCGACTTAGAACTCCAGGTTGGATCGACGGTTGTCGGCATAACTTTTCTACCGACTATGTGCAGTCTGAAGCCTGCTCTGAACCTGCTGGATTCTCTCGGTCGTCTTGAGCACCACCTCGGTGCTCCCCATGACCCTCTGGCCAACTTCACCCCAGCATATCGGGGTCCTGCACCTCCAACCGTACAACATCTCGAATGGGGGACGGTCAATACTCGCGTGGTAGCTGTTGTTGTACGAGAACTCAGCCAAGGGAAGATAGGTATCCCAGCTACCACCGAAATCTAACACGCATGCCCGCAACATATCCTCCAAAGTATGGATGGTCTGCTCACTCTGACTATCCGTCTGCGGGTGAAAGGCGATGCTAAAATGCAGAAGAGTGCCCAACTCATCATGAAACCTCTTCCAAAACCTGGAAGTGAACCGCACATCTCGATCTGATATCACTGACACCGGCACCCCGTGCCACGCACTATCTCCCTGATATAGATATCGGCCAACTTTTCGGCCGAGATACTCTCCTGAATCGGAATAAAATGGGCGCTCTTGGTCAACCGATCCACGATGACCCAAATCGAATCTACTCCTCGTGCCGTTCGTGGAAGCTTAGTGATAAAATCCATCGTAATATCCTCCCATTTCCACAACGAGATATCCAACGACTGCATCTTGCCGTGCGGTCTCTGATGCTCGTCCT